AAATGTTAAATAATAGTTTAGCAGACTATTATTTTTTAGTAGAATTTTATCTCAGCTGCGATTTCCGTAGGTTGACCTTCGAGGTCAGATGCAAGCCAAAATAAGGAAGTCGATTTTTATTGGCTGAGTCAGGGTGGGAATGAGAAAGGTTTTTCAGGGTGTTAGTTGTTACGCGTCAAGCAATGTAAACGTGTTCACTTTTTGTCTGAAACGGCTCCCCAGTGAGGAGGAACAACCCCCACTGGATAGTTAATACATATCGACGTGAACATTAATAAAATAAATAAGTTCAAATTCTCCGTTTTGAAGGTCTTTCATATCTGGACCCAAAACATTTAGCGATGCTCGACCGGGAAAACAAGAGAGAGAGAGAGAGAGAGAGAGAATACAACAGAAAGAGCAATAAAATTATTTGAGATGCAAAGGAAGGAAAGCAGAAGAAAGAAAGAATGAGTCATCATAAAATAAAGAAAAAGTCATGAAAATTGGGAGAAAGAAAGATATAGCAAAAGAAAGCAAGGAGAGTAAAAAAGAGATTATTGTCATTGTAGCAAACAGGACCTATATAAATAAATTTTGAGTAGCAAAGAAAGATAGAAAGAAGAATAAAAACCTGAAAAAAGAAAGAGACTTCATAAAAGAAAAAAAGAGCAATAAAATTATTTTGAGAAGCAAAGAAAGAAAGAAAGAAAGAAAGAATAACTGAGTCACGATGAAATAAAGAAAAGATAATTTAAAAATTGGAGAAAGGTATAGCAAAATAAAGCAAGGATAAGAAAGAAAGAAAGAATGAAAGAAAGAAAGAAAGAAAGAAGGGAGAATAAAAACCTGAAAAATGAAAGAGACTTAAAAAAAAAAAAAGAGCAATAATATTATTTAGAGAGACAAAGACAGAAAGAAAGAAAGAAAGAAAGAAAGAAAGAAAGAAAGAATAACTAAGTCATCATAAAATAAAGACAAGGTAATTAAAAATTAGATAAAGACAGATATAGCAAAAGAAAGTAAGGATAGTAAATCAAAGAAAGAAAGAAAGAAAGAAAGAAAGAAAGAAAAGAGAATAAAAATCTAAAAAGAAAGATAGAAAGAAAGGACTAAATCCCTTTTTCAACCATTTCAATGTAACAACATCTTTATCGCAACAAATCCGATCGATATGACATATGAGTATAATTTTTTGGTTTTCGTCTCGCGTTATCTCACGAGATTTAAATCTCATCAGGCTGCTTTTCTGTGTGTTGTGCTTGACGAGATTTTAAAAGGAAAACTTGATGATTTTCTTTCCTAACTTTTGTGCCGCGGCAAACACAGTTGTTTCAGTCAGTCGTCATTGCTATGAAAACAAACTTGCATCTGACCAGAAGTGTTATCGAGTCGTAGAGGATTTCCTTTTTTTTTTCTTTTTCCTTTTTCTTTTTTCCTTCGGGAGGCCAGGGCTGGGGTCAGCCTTTAAAGACTAGTGAGGCTAAAAGGAATATTCCCCCTCAACAATTATTTAGCTAGTGTCGTGCCTTGTCGAAACCCCAAATCTTTAAATCAGACTCCCAGAGGCGAAATGCGATATCCCCGAATGAGCAAACAATTCTCTTCTTCTTTTTCTTTTTCTTCTTCATTGTTCCTGTCCTGGGTAAGACGATAAACTACATCCGTGTCCTGGGTATGACGATAAACTACATCCGTGTCCTGGGTAAGACGATAAACTACATCCGTGCCCTGGGTATGACGATAAACTACATCCGTGTCATGGGTAAGACGATAAACTACATCCACGTCATGGGTATGACGATAAACTTCATCCAACAGCAAGGCCTCTAATCAGGAGGTTTTGAGGAGCGTGGAACCACCTCTTAATTGCTGGTGTTCGCAGGAACTTTGAATGAGATAATCTTTGATTTTCATTAAACAAATCTTTTCAATTATGTAAATGTAACCGCCATTTCTACTGCAACATTTTCTTTGCTAGCACTTCCCGCTTATTGGACTATATATAACTACAAGCTGGTTCATTGTGTCGTGCCAGAAGGTTTTGTTCTCATCACGTTCCATCTTGCACATTTACAAATCTATCATTTGTCTGTGTATTGAATACTGCTGCCATAGCTGGTCTTGTGCCTTTGCTGTTCATCTCGGGGTCCTCGACAAAATCCAAAGAAGGATCTGTAATGTAATCGATCCGACTTGGCATCGCGACATAACATAGCTTCTCTCCGATTTTCTGCAAATATTTTTTTTTTATGACAACTGCTCTGATGAGATTTTTTCCCCTGATGTCCGGATTACGTGAGTTTAAGTATTCTACTATACTGGCAACTTGGTCCCACTCTTTAACTGTTGAAATAGTTAAAAGTAACCGCCACTTCTACTCTGTTATAGTAATTTACCCACGCATGCATGGACTCTCCCAACTATAAATAGGAGCAGGTACTGCCTTTTGGAGAGGGATGTTTCCAGCTCTGACAATCGGACCGAACATTCTTGCTGTATGTTATGGTCCAAGTTCCTTGTACAACGGTGATGGTCCAAGGTTAGAACCAATGAAAGAATAACATGAACACAGGTATGGAATACAAAGATATATTACAACAGAAATATAATACAAAGAAGTATTAGTAATGACTATCAGATTTGGTTAGAGTGAACTATGTTGTCTTGACAAGTATCACTATTCCAATGTCCTTACAATATGCTCTCAATTATCTCTCTTCGTCTTACAATCTCATAATATTTATAATGTCAGGAATAGTCCATTATTATTATGGGTAAGTTTCCATAACACTGTAACACTCTCGTTTGTATATGTTTGTATTACTGTTTCTGTTAATATATTTGTTTAATTCAATTCATCTCTTTGTGCCTTTATTTCTGGCCCCAACAAGACCACAAGTTTGTTTGAATGAAAGCTGTGTGAAGTAAGATACTTAGTCAGTGTTATATATATATATGTGTGTGTGTGTGTCTGTGTGTGTGTGTGAGAGAGAGAGAGAGAGAGAGAGAGAAAGAGAGAGACTTTCTGTTTATCTCTCTATCTGTTTATCTATATATCTAACAACTTAGCTAGCTATCTTTGTGGCTATGTTTACCACAGCGTTTCGGCCGTTGTACGCTCCGAACTTCTTCAGGTGGTTGGGATGGAGACAAAGACGAGAACAATAGTCCGAATAATGTAAATAGTGTACATAATACCTCATCGCAGAAATATAGACAGATACTGAAAGGCCAAAATGTTGTGATAAATATGGCGACAAAGTTGAGGACAAAAGTCCGAATATTGTAAATAGTGTACATAATACTTCATCTCAGAAATATAGACAGATAATGAAAGGCCGAAACGTTGTAATAAATATAGTGACAAAGATGAGGACAATAGTCCGAATAATGTAAATAGTGTACATAATACCTCATCTCAGAAATACAGACAGATACTGAAAGGCCGAAACGTTGTGATAAATATGGCGACAAAGTTGAGGACAAAAGTCCAAATAATGTAAATAGTGTACATAATACCTCATCGCAGAAATATAGACAGATATTGAATAAATGTATATTTAATTTGAATAAAGTTTCATTAATTCGAATAAAATTACTTTTACATTGAATAAAAATATATGTCCTTTGAATAGAAGTACTTTTACATTGAATAAAAGTTTATGTACTTTGAATAAAAGTATCTTTCTTTTGAATGGAGTTATCTGGCTTCGTAAATATCGCTGTAGGCAAGAGGCGTAAAGTCACAGCTGTTGTTTCTGCCTGTTGGTCAGTTCTTCACGCCATTCCTGTCGTCGGATGATTCTTTGAGCGGATCTTTGTCGTAAAGATGCAATGCTTTCCGAATTAGCTTCAGTTCAAGATAAATATCTGTTTGATAACTCTTTATCTACAAGAACGAAAACTGCCGGTGAAAACGTCAAAATGGCCGACGCGTGAAGCTTCCCGTTTTTATATATCCTGTTTCAGTGTCAAAATTATTTTCCTTTTTCATTTGGTTTCTGTACTTTCTCGTCAGGTCAGACCCAAAATGGAGTATTGCTGGGCATGCCTAGGCTGGGTATGCCTAGTCCTCCCTTTCCAGCTTCGACAGAGTTCAAAAGCGTCTACGTGGCCTGAATTATTTTCCACACTGCAACCCCTCTTTCACAGACGAAACGTCGCAATGCATTTGCTAATCTATTACTATTTCCATTGAAATTGTTCTGATGAGCTGAGTTCCTTAATTTCACAAGTTCAGACCTTTACACCTACGACTCACCATAGGGATGGGGTCGAACCATCTTCATACCCTTCATATTGCATTTGTAAGAAAGAAGTTCTATTCGGACAGCTTCTCCCTTAGAGCACATTGCTTTCTTGTCCTTTTTCTTTTTACATTTTTTTGCTTCTTTCTTTCTTTCTATTTATCATTAAATAAATTAATCTTTTTTTTTTCTTACTATTTCATTCACTCTTTGAACGTTCCTCTTTCTTTCTTTTCTGCCATTATTGAATATTTTCTTTTTCACTTTTTCTTAAATCCTTTCTTTCCTTCCATTTTCTGTCTTTATTTCTTTCTTTTTTCTCTATTGTTAATGAATATTTCTTTTGCATTTTTTTTTCTTTCTTTCTTGTTGGTTATTTATTCGTTCTTTCTTTCTTTCTGCCATTTTTCTGTCTTTTTTTTTTTCTGTTTTAATTATTTTCCTTTCTTTCTTTTTCTCTTTCTCTCTTTCTTCCCTTAATGATTTTTCTTTCATTCTGTCTTTTGTTCTGTTATTATTAACATTTTTCTTTCTTTCTTTCTTTATTTCTTTCTTTCTTTCTTTCTTTCTTCTCATCCATATAACTATACCTTTTTCTTTTCTTTTCTTTCTGTCTTTCTTTCTTTTTTTTCCTTTCTTTTCTTTCTTTTCTTTCTTCTTCTCATCCATATAACTATTCCTTTTCTTTCTTTTTTTCTTTTTTTTTTCTTTCTATTTGTCCTTCCGTAATGTTTATTTTCTTTTTTCTTTCTTTCGTTTTGTTCTTCCTCAATGTTTTTTCTTTCTTTCCTTCTTTCTTTCTATTTGTCCTTCCGTAATGTTCTTTCATTCCTTCTTTTTTATTTTCTTTCCTTCTTTTTTATTTTATTTATTTCTTTCTTTCTTTCTTTCTTTCTTTCTTTCTATTTGTCCTTCCGTAATGTTTATTTTCTTTTTTCTTTCTTTCGTTTTGTTCTTCCTCAATGTTTTTTCTTTCTTTCCTTCTTTCTTTCTATTTGTCCTTCCGTAATGTTCTTTCATTCCTTCTTTTTTATTTTCTTTCTTTCTTTCTTTCTTTCTTTCTTTCTTTCTTTCTTTCTTAATGTTTATTTTCTTTTTCTTTCTTTCTTTCTTTCGTTTTGTCCTCCCTCAATGTTTTTCTTTCCTTCTTTCTATTTGTCCTTCCGTAATGTTCTTTCTTTCTTTCTATTTGTCCTTCCTTAATGTTTTTACTTTCTTTCTTTCTTTCTTTCTTTCTTTCTTTCTCAAATGCGTCTCCTTTCTTTCTCTCGTATTTTCATTACATCGAATGAAGAAAACATAATCACGAAGTAGTACGTGACTTGAAGACGGCCTAGTCTTGCTGAAATACGTAGGTAGCAGATAAGCTAGATCTCTCAATCTCTGCTTGTTTTCTCCTTCTTGTATTTACCTTTGACTCCCCACTGAGTCAGGGTGCGACAGAAGGTGAGTTCGTTTTAACGTGGGGATCCCGAGTGTCTCCACCCGAGTGTCTCCCCCCGGGTGTCCACTGGTCTTTTCTAGTCTTAGCTCGTCAGAGCTAATGAAGAAACCACGCTATGGAACAGATCCGAACATTCTGTCCAAGTAGCTGTAGGATGGGGAAGAGGCTCAGGTAGGGGACAGACACTACAACAGCAGCACCTCCGCCCCCACCAGATATTTTCCCCCCCCGTCGTTTACTCCTTCTTCATGATTCTCGGCGTCTGTATTTATGCATATGGACGAGTTCAAGTCCTCTCATGGAGAGCTGTGTTCATCTACACAACACTTTCTTTCGTTCTTTCTTCTTTTCTTTTTTCTTTCTTTCTTTCTTTTTTTTTCTTCTTTCTTTCTTTCATTTTTTTTTTTTTCTTTTCTGTCTCTTTCTTTCTTTTTTTTTTGTTCTTTCTTTTTTTTTTTTTTTTTTCTTTCTTTCATTCTTTTTCTTTCTTTTTTCTTTCTTTTTCTTTTCTTTCTTTCTCTTTTTTTTTTTCTTTTTTTCTTTCTTTTCTTTCATTCTTTCATTCTTTTTCTTTCTCTCTTTCTTTTCTTTTTTTTTTTTTTCTTTCTTTTTTTCTTTTTTTTCTTTTTTTCTTTCTTTCATTCTTTTTTCTTTCTCTCTCTCTTTCTTTCTTTTTTCTTTCTTTCTTTCATTCTTTTTTCTTTCTCTCTCTCTCTTTCTTTTTTCTTTTTTCTTTCTTTATTTCATTCTTTTTTCTTTCTCTCTCTCTCTCTCTCTTTCTTTCTTTCTTTTTTCTTTCTTTCTTTCTTTCTTTCTTTTTCTTTCTTTCTTTCTTTCTTGTTTCGGTTTATTCTCACTTCTTTATCGACTTTTTCATTCCTTCCCTAATTTCTTTCTTTTTTATCGAAATATTTTCTTTCTTACTCTCTTTATTGAATGAATTTTGTTTTTTTTCATTTCTGCTTTTTTATTCACTCCTCTTATTTGAAAGTTTTCTTTCTCACTTTCTGTGAAAGAAAAATATAAGAGCCATTAGCTACAAAGAAAGAACAACCGAGAAGGGAAAAAAAAGAAACAGTAGGGGGGGGATGTACGAATGGAAAAAAAAATCAAAAAACAGAAAATAATCAGTAAAAAAAAAAAGACGAAAAAAAAGAAACGAAGAAATGCAAATAAATGCAGGAAACAACATAAGATACTTGGAGAATGAAATAAACGCAAACAAAACGTAAAAGAAACACTATGTTGTAAAATAATTTTTAAGGGGAAAAAATTTGATGAAAAAATTTGATGGTAGGGAAAAAAAGACAGAAAACCATTGAAAAACTAAAATTAATAAAACTGCACACAAAATAAGAGAAAGTAAAAAAAAAATACGAAAAAAAAAAAGAAAAAAAGAAGCCAAACAAATATTCGGAACAGCTCACACAATTAGAGTAGCTATTTTTGCTCAACAACAGACGATAATTCTTCCCGCCATGAACTTCTTGGCTCTATTCCTCTTCTACCTAAATCACTGCAATGTGTCGACAGTCTACGTTTCCCTGATTGTATTTATCTGAGTAATATGCCGTTTCCATCTCCAGTAACGAGGATTTTTATTGGCTAGAATGAAGCGAATAAAACTCGGTGTGAAGCCGGCGATGTATAAGTAGTTTTGGGCGAGGGTGGGTACGGACAAATTAAGTTACGTCCGAAAGATACCTCAGCCGAAAGATAGTAATAATAATGATGATGATGATGATGAACGTGGTGATAATGGCGTTGAGATCATGGCGCGAATAAATAGGGCGAAAAATTGACAGTACAACGATTACTGAGACGAGAAGCTTGAATAATATTAATAATAATCTGTTCATTGCCAAGATATTAACTCCCAATAATAATAACAATAATAATAAACAATGATAATCTTTTCGTTGCCAAGATCTTAACTGCAAATAATAATAATAATAATGGAAGTGTCTGGATGTTAATCGGTCGTGAATAGCCGTGTCTTATGAGAAGGACAAGCTTTTTAGTTTTGGTCGACAGTCGTCCTAGAGGAGGTATCTTGAACAAAATTACCCCTAGGTGGTTAAGGATAAATCTCAATGTTTACAAGCAAAAATTCATACCAGGCTAGTCATCACCCAAATAAACAAGATCCGCGACCGTAAGAGAGGAACCAAACTGAAGATGAAAAATCTGTCTCTGTGCGACATTCTAACCCTGCTGGTTGCAGCACCATTTGTGACGATCTAACTCTCGTTTGGTTTGGGTAAAAACTTGGTTTACCACGGAACCATTTACCACTATGCCCTCTGGTTGTCTTGGTCGCGGTCGATGTCTGGTTAGATTCGGTATCAGCTTTGTCGTCCTCAGCTCGCTTCCAATGTCTGGTCACCGAAATAACTGCTTTGATCTCTAGACAAACCTACCCACGTTGTGATTTGATCTTAGGTAGACGAAATCAATCAGGCGTCGGGCCATAGTGCAAGCTGAATCCGGGGTAAAGGTGATACCGCACAAGTGTATGTAAAAGAAAAATAATAAAACAAACTCACGAGGTTCAAACGTGTTGAGACATAACAAGTATCTTTATATCTGTCTGCTGAATACAAGAGTGTGTCTTTCTCCCAGCCTGCTCTATGGATTCGTGACATTTTTTTTTTTTTTTTTCTTATGGTATCTCAAGTTGTTTTTCAATAAACTGCTTTTTGGAATCTTCAGTCAATATTCATTAAAACTTGCTTTGGTGGTGTAAGTCTAAGTTGTTCTTCATTAAAAATTGCTTTTGGTTAGAAGTTTAAGTCGGAAAGTGTGGAAATCTTGCGGTCAGCTCCTGCGAGGCTGGTCTCCGAGCCCAACAGCTCTCTGTCGATCTGTCTCCGATCTCCAACCTAACTTACTGACTGAACGCCCGGGAACGTTCCTTTATATGGACATCGACCAAAACCGGGTTGGGGCCTGTCGTGGTTTGGGTTCTTCGATAATTCCAAATCCCCAATAAGGATTCTCTTTGTCTTCGGACAGGAAAATTTATCACTTCCCATTTTTGGAAGTCAATTGCTTGCTGTTTTAAAGGTGTTCTCCCCCTTCTGTGAGGAGAGGTCAGTGGAGAATTATCCTCCTAAACTCTTCCTTTCTCATATTGGTATCTCATACCAATCCCTTCAATGGGCGTCAACAAGTTTCCCTTCTTTCTCATTCATTCACCTCCGCCTATCACTCATGTTACCACTTTAGCCAATGATCTCTTGGCAGTGTGGGGTGGCTAGACTGGCATCAGTTTACAATTATCGCCCAAAGAAAAAAATATCTTCCTTTTTCTTTCTTTCTTTTCTATCGGCCAGAATTCTTATGGACTGCACATTGTGGTCATTAAATTTTTATCTTATGCTGGGGCACCTGGAATTCATTAGCGGAACTCTCGCCGACTCATTAACCATCGCCAGTCAAGTTTTAACTGGTTGGTCGTTTCCATTTGGAGACTAAATCCCTTTGTCTTTCTCGTGTCTTAACTTGATCGTATTTCCAGATGCCCGTTCTCGGTGACAGAAAGTCTGTAGTTGACAGCTTGAACAAACAATGACATCGACAATGTCAAGGTCTGTGTTCATACGGCTGATCTCTTCGTCGGTTTTTAAGATAAACGAATTTCGATTATTTCTGCTTTCATGAAGCTGACCGAATCGAAATTTTTATTATTGCTACGCGTATGTTCAGATTGTTATTCTTTACCCGTATTCTGTTTCCCTTGGCACTTCACTCTCTTGTCATGACATTAATTAACTCCGACAGAATCTGAAACCTGCTTCTCTTACGAATTTTCTGTCTTTTGCGAAAAAAATATCTTTCTTTGTAAATGAAAATAAAAATCTTTACCCATTTTTCTTTCGTTAAAAAAAAATAATGTCGCTCGGTATGTCTTTCGTTATAGCTCTTTCTCGCCTTAAGTATTTCTCGTTTTTAATTTCCATGCTTAATTAGTTCGCCAATTACCATAGCTAAATAGTGTCACATCTGGAACAAACTCTTCCGCCGACAATGAAACACCTGGTTACCAAAATCGGATTAACTCCAATATTGAACCTCGTTACTTAATGCCAAATAAATTAATAAAAAAGAAAGCCAAGAAAATGCAATGACGAAGAGTATAAACAAGCCATTTTTACTACACTCGAAAAGCAACAAGATAACTTAACGGATCAGATACATCAAATATGAAAACATATGATAGCAACTAAAATAAGACCCTATCTCGACCCAAATATTTTTGCCAATACCCGCAGGAACATCATGCGAAATAAAACTCTCAAATACTGAAACAGATAAGATAAAACTAAATATAAAACAGAATACCAACAAACATAATCCAAACAAAATGAAACAAGTATGAAAATAGATAATATAAAAATGAATGGAAATCAGATGCGAGTTATTAATACTTGATGAGATTTCAAGATTCAAATGTTTTAATATGGAAAAGAAAGAAAATTAAGCGGAATTATAAAATTAAATCTTAAATGAAATTCCATCTATCAATGAAATATTTAAACAGAAACTACAGTTAAAGGCTCGGAAATCAAGACAATATAAAAAGTGTAGGTTTTATCGAGAAAATATTCCAAACAGACCTTAAGATGTTTTACAGGGAAATTGGAAAATCAGTTAGAGACATCAAAAAACCATGACATTAGAGTAAAATTCCTTGAAAACAACAGAGGTGAAATCACTGAAGCGAAGCCACATCATACAAATAATCAGCAAAGTAACTATGAAACAAATGTCTGAAAGAGAACGGCTTCCAAAATTTCATATAACAAAGTAAATATATATATATATATATATATATATATATATATATATATATAAAAGTGAACATTGAAGTCTAACACTTAGAGGTGACAGGCTGTTTCATACTAAAGCTTGACGATTGCGTTTAGTATGAAACAGCCTGTTGCCTCTAAGTGTTGACTTCAATGTTCACTTTATATTTACACATGCTCTATCTCTGATGTTGAGCACTTTATCCCATAAATATAGCACACCTTAAAAACTATATTTCTTTATATGTATATATGTATATATATATATAATGCTGCATTGCAAAGATTGTTAAAGGACAGACCATAAGAAAACATCCCAGAAGTAAATAATGTCATATATGCAACAATGTTAAAAGCTACGGAAAAACTTAATGTCAAGAGAAATAAAGGATTAAAAAACAGACAAAAAGAGTTCAGTTCGGAAGGCAAAGTTAAAGCGAGAAATTGAGGAAAACAGACGTGAATTATCGATACTTGATGAGATTTCAAGAAATTCAAATCTTTCAAAGCGGAAATATAAAATTAAGACTGTAAATGAAATTCTACCAATCAAGGAAATATTTAAACAGAAACTACAATCAAAGACCCAAAGAAAAGACGATATGAAGAGCGTCCTAGCTTCTATCAACAAGATATGATATTCCAATCGGATTCCAAGAAGTTTTACAGCGAAATTAGATAAGCGGTTACCTTAGTCAAAAAACCACTATCTATTTAAGAAATGCGTATATTTTGGGAGAATATTTGGAGCAATCTAAAGGAATATTGTTTTTTAACCATTTCACCCCAAGCAAGGCGGGAGTGTCACTAGCACGCGCGGGGTTACAGAAAGTGGGAGCAAGAGTAAAGAGGCGTGACTGAGGCAAGGATGAAGAGAAGGGTCAGGGAATAGATCAAGGCATCTGGAGATATCGATTGACATTGTATTTGAATAAATGAAGATTATAGCTATCAGGGAGGGAGTTCCTCAGACGGGAAGTGCGAGACATGAAGCTACATTTATCAGTTTCTTCAGTGAAAGGATGGGACTGAGATGCTGACACGTTTAAATTCATGCAGTTTGAGTCGGACAGTTACCGTGAAAGTATTTGTAGAAAAGACAGAGGAAGGTGACGGCACGTCTGTGAGAAAGCGACTGTAAACGAGACGCCAGTACAGGGCCAACCACATTGCATATCCGCCTCTGGATTTTGTCAAGGCCGCTAAGACGAATAGCTGGATCTCCAGACCATATATGACAGCAATATTCCATGCAAGGGCGAATGGTTGATTTATAGATTGGAAGGATGGACTCGGGCGAGAAAAAACTTTCTGGCGCGACACAGAGAACCAACATTCCTTGCGGTAGATGGAAACTATAAATATGGATGATGATCTGTGTGAAAGAACATAAAAGAAATAAGAAACTTTATTCAGTCATAAAGAAAGCCAACAAATTGAAAAGGGAATTTCAAGTGAATGCAAATAAATCCAGACCCGGTTACCAAGATAGGACCTATAACAATTTTTATGGAACTTTACAATAACGACAGTGTTGAGGCGCACCCACCTTCTCATCAGAATGGACTGATCTCTCTACTACTAATAGGACAGTTCTATAGAGTTCTGGGAAGATCAGGTGACCATCACACTTCCGTCTCTCTACCGGAAGAGACAGTTGGAATTTATACCCTTTCTGATTGTTACTGACTAACCTGCGTTCGTTTGACTACTAATCTCTCTGTTGTAAATACCTCTTCAGATATACCAGTATTTTTCCCTACGTATGTGTTTGTCCTTATTTCAATACACACACGCGGAAACACTCAACATCTCAACACACAGACAGAAAAATCAAACCTAATCGCTCAGACATCGTATTCAAAGATCACAAAAACAAAAGGTGCTTTCTTGTTTGTTTGTTTGTTTGGGTTTTATGGCATATCAACCACTGTGGGTTATTTAATGCCAAATCTAGTTTATATATATGCCAAATATATGAATTTTAAATGCCTATTTTGTATGGAACATTTTTAGCAAGCTAGAGCTTATTTGCTTGCACACTGCAAAATGATCCTAGGTAAATTTTGTTTAAGTCAAGAATTTCCATTTGATTGTTGATTGTTTTGTTTAACGGCATCTCAACCTTAGTGGACACTTTATGCCGAAAATGATTTTGAGTGACTTTAAAAGTCAAAAACGTATAGCTGGCAACATTATGGTTTCAAAAAATATAGCTGGCAACATTATTGTTTCAAAAATGTATAGCTGGCAACATTATTTTTCCGAAAACATTATCTGAGGCCTTGCTGTTGGATGTAGTTTATCGCCATACCCAGGACGCGGATGTAGTTTATCGTCATACCCAGGACGTTGGAAAACGTATAGCTGGCAACATTATGGTTTCAAAAACGCATATAGGCCTTGCTGTTGGATGTAGTTTATCTCCATACCCAGGACGTGGTGTTTTCTTATTGATATGGCAATCCCTGCAGATTGTGATATAGCTTTGAAATTCTACAAGAAACTATCCAAATACAAGGATCTTAAACTAGAAATCTCAAAATTGTGGAACATGAGGACATCGGGTCGGGAGTAGTCAGAGTATCGAGTGGATATCAAGAGAGTTGATTTTATTTATTTATTTACTGAGTAAACTAGATTACTTGACGTGAAAGCATCTCTAACTGGTCCCAACCTACAAGGCTATGCGTTGTTTCTATTTAAGACAGGAAGTTGTAGAGAGCCATGGCCCTGAGAGCACATAAAAAATCTCAGCATCACAGTGTTAGTATGCTTCTCTCTCAAATAATAATAAGCACTTTTTAAATCATTTCTCTCCCCAAATGCGATAACACCACTAAGATGCAGCCGACCACTGGGAATAACAGAGAATGAAAGGACTTTAGAGCAACTGAAGCCAAAATCATAAACAGGAAACAAGAGATAAACCTCTACTCCCGTTCAAAAGACCGGGGAGGAGTGTGAACCGGGCGATAGGCGAGCTTATCTACTACTATTGATGAAAAATAAGTCAATAAATTGCAAATAAAAACTTCAGCGTTTGAGCGGAGATGTTCTAAGTATTGAGTTAAAGTAGACTTTAAAAGGAGCCATAAACCCAATCCTGAACAGGGAAACAAGCGATAAACCTGTTGAAAATACCGGGGAGGAGTTTGAACCGGGCGATAAGCAAAAGTTGAAGAAGATAAAACTTTCTTTTTTTTTTTAATTACTTGCATAAGCTTATATTTATGACAGGCGAATTCATACATACATTTTCTTGGCTAAATGTTCAGAGAACACTCCTCATGGTGGACGCTGTCTAAAGCAAAAACTCTCTCCTATGGGAGAGATCACTTCTGCTGCCAGTAATGGTGATAGGATATCTAGTAGAAAAGAATGAAATAATTCAGGCAAGTTACAGTCTGCTTGAGGAAGATTCTAGCTCGGGGAGATTGCAATATAGAACCTACCAAAAATAAAACTTCTAACATTGAATTTCGGTATTCCAACAAACCGCCAATGGCAGTGTTCGTCGACGCATAGTTTAGGCCGGTCGTTCGTGTAGCCGTCGTTTGTTTGCACGCAAGCGCGGTCGATGCATCAGGCGCCGACAACCAGAAGGTGGCCTGGACTTGTTTACGAATGGAGTGGAAAAGAGAACAGTCTGCAGTGGTGTCCGCGTGCGCTGAGCGCCGACAACGAATCGGCACTCGCACGATACGCATCAATGGCTCTGGGTGATTGTCGATATAGAGTTTACGCGGCTCGGCTGATGTTCGTCCTTGTAGTCATCGTGTTTAGTCGACAAATACGGCGGCCAACGCGTCAGGTACCGACAACAAGGTGGTCAGGACTTCTTTTTTTTTTTTACGATAAGGCTGAAGGAATTGAAGACCTGAAGATTTCGCTAACATTCCAGGCTATGATCTTAAATAAAATATGAAATACTAGGTTAGCCAGACTCACTTACGAAGCGGAAAGAAAACAACAAATCTTGGTCTCTGTCTGATGGAATTTCCAAGGCGTACTGCATTTCGAGCTTGTTCCACATGGTCACGCCATCAACGCTAAACTGTATTGCCAGCAGCTAGACTACATGTATGATAAACTAATGAAGGAGTACTCTGCTTTGTTCAGTCAAGGCCTTGCTTTATTTCAGCATGACAATGTGAGGTCACACACTGACAGGTTGACTAAGGAGAAGTTCAATGGGTGGTGTTGAGACTCTTCCACATCCACCGTTCAATCCCGGTGCTGCTTCGGGTGACTATTGCCTATTCTGCTCAATGCCGCACTTCCTGGTATCTGGGACAACTTTAGATGCTGGCGGATCACTGACAGAAGATCATCGAGAATGATGGACTTTATTCGGAAGAATAAATGTTGTTGCGCCATAAAATTTTGTTGTTTTCTTTCTGCTTCCTAAGTGAGTCAGGACTTTGGGGCCAACCTAATACTATGAAAAGTCCGTGGGTATATAGGGGTCTTCATGTTCTTTAATCTTCACCAGAACATTAATGATAAACACACCTCAACTTCCTGTTTTGGCAACACTTTCACGGTGACGATACGATCGGAATATCTACATATTATTAATTTTTATCTGATTATTAACTATTTATTTTTAATTTCACTTAATGCTTCATCTAATAAGAATCAAATTAAAGGTAATATTACTACTCACGACTCCGACGTATGAGGGTCAAACAGATCAGTTCCTAGGAGACCGACAGCCCGACAACAGCACATGAGATTTGATTATAGTGGTGAAGGTTTCGTGCAGGACCATCCACACTTTTTGAAGGGCCGAATACAGAGACCTGGTGCACCGAATGCCAAGATTCCCAAATGACCCTCCGCAGGTTTTGAATTCAGAGTTGTCCTTCTCCTAGACCAGTTGCCATCCAAGGCTATAGAACCCAGTCTGTCCTGCTCCATAGCTGGAGGGAGAATAAGAGGATTCCTACCTTTCCCAAGGGCATTAGCACGTAAGTGAATGTAATTCGAACTCGGCTCACCGATTCCTCAATCCAAGCCGATATCCATTACTCCACCGTGCCTCAAGGTAATATTACTACTAATACTACTACTAATAAAAAGCAAGTGAAATTAAGATGAAAGAAATCCTAGTCAAAAATGAATAATAGCTGACAAGGCTTCATCTAATAAGAATAAAAGTCAAGATAATATTACTACTCATACTACTAATGGAATAAAAAGCAATTGAAATTAAGATGAAAGAAATCCTAGTGAAAAATGAATAATGGCTGACAATGCTTCATCTAATAAGAATAAAAGTCAAGATAATATTACTACTAATGGAATAAAAAGCAAGTGAAATTAAGATGAAAGAAATCCTAGTCAAAAATGAATAATTGCTGACAATGCTTCATCTAATAAGAATAAAAGTCAAGATAATATTACTACTAATACTACTAATGGAATAAAAAGCAATTGAAATTAAGATGAAAGAAATCCTAGTGAAAAATGAATAATGGCTGACAATGCTTCATCTAATAAGAATAAAAGTCAAGATAATATTACTACTAATGGAATAAAAAGCAAGTGAAATTAAGATGAAAGAAACCTAGTGAAAAATGAATAATGGCTGACAATGCTTCATCTAATAAGAATAAAAGTCAAGATAATATTACTACTAATGGAATAAAAAGCAAATGAAATTAAGATGAAAGAAATCCTAGTGAAAAATGAATAATGGCTGACAATGCTTCATCTAATAAGAATAAAAGTCAAGATAATATTACTACTAATGGAATAAAAAGCAAGTGAAATTAAGATGAAAGAAATCCTAGTGAAAAATGAATAATGGCTGACAATGCTTCATCTAATAAGAATAAAAGTCAAGATAATATTACTACTAATGGAATAAAAAGCAAATGAAATTAAGATGAAAGAAATCCTAGTGAAAAATGAATAATGGCTGACAATGCTTCAGCTAATATTCCTTATGTGTGGAATGATAAATTATCATTTAGAGTTAAAAACGGTAGCAATGTTTTGTTTTCGAGAAAAAAATGTTCACTTGTCAGCCGTCATAATTTTGTGACCTTTTCTTGGCTCCAACACTGGTTCTGGCGGAAGTGACGTAAATACAAAAGCAAGTCGGTGGCGGAAGCGCTTTTTTGTTTGCAATAAGTTGATAGTGTTTGTTTTTGTTTTCTTATGGGTTTTTTTTATTATTCTGTTTTTAATATTCAGCTTCTTCTTTTTTATCTGACAACAAAGTCGGACATTGCCTTTCGCAACGGTGGATTATCAACATCTATATATCTTTTTCCATTTCTTTCATTTTCTCTCTGCCCACCGTCCTCTCTCCTATTCCCTTTCTCTTTCTTTCTCTCTTTCTCCTTGTCTTTTTCTCTCTCATTCTCTTTCATTTTCTCTTTCTCTCTCTTTCTATTTCCCACTTTTTCTTTCTTGTTCTTTCTCCTTTTCTGTCTCTCTCTCTCTCTTTCTCTCTCAGTCAAGTTATTTCTCTTCACTATATATATATATATATATATATATATATATATATATATATATATATATATATATATACTGCGTCCAGGTACATTTTCTTTAATAAATCTCATTTTAATAGATACATTTGTTAAAATTGAACCGAAATTGTTAAAAAATACTAGAGATGAAATTTATTCAATAAAATCGCCATTAGCTTCAACCACAGCCTCCAGACAACTTCAGAATCTCCTGTAACTGTTCTGGACAGTCTCCTTGTTCAAGTTGGTGAACGCAGCCACAAGCCTTGCCTACTGTTCATCTTTGGCTTTACAAGAAGTTTTGTTGGTCTCTTGTTCAACTGCGTTCCACACATAATTACCAAGGAGTTTCCAGCATGGGGAGTTTTTAGGTGTCCAGATGTAAGTCCGAAGAATATTTTGCATTTACCGGTTTGAATGGTCAAGAAACTTGGCAGAAAACATGCGTTCCCCAACAGAAATTGAACCTGTGTCCTATACGAAACCGTCAATTGATCTGACGTGCTATTCTACTAAATAGAAGTGTATATATATATATATATATATATATATATATATATATATATATATATATATATATATATAAAAATGAAGGAAAGAACAGTAAGATTTATAATCCGGTGTTCTTATTAATTATTTTTATTTAAAAAAAAAAAAACAGTGCTCAATACAATTCTGCAGAGCATAAATATTATAAAATTACTAATTTAAAAATATACTTCCATCGCTACACAGGAATTACCATGCTTCAAAAACAGAAACTAAAATCTTCAAATTTAATTATAGAATTAAATTAAAATCCCTAGTATTGTTTCATTATTGTTTCTTTGGATTTTGTCAAGAATGTAAAGATGAATAGCAGGAGCACCAGACCAGATATGGCAGCAGTATTGAATGCATGGATGAATGGTAGATTTGTAAATGTGCAAGATGGACTCTGACGAGAAAAAACTTTCTAGCACTAACATTCTTTTCACTAATATTCAAAAGCATGGTAAAATTATTTTATAAAAGTTTGTTACTGGTTCGTAAACTGACTCGATGATGTTGTAAAAATACCAAATGGAGGTAAAGAATAACGCTGAGTTAGGCGGCGGCGGATGTTTTATGGTTAAGTTTAGTTTTATGGTTAGTGTTAATGTTGCAAGTGTTGATAAAATTTAAACGATTTTGTTTATAATTATAAAATTAAAAATAATACACACTTTTAGCAACTAATAAAAATTGAACAAATATTTTCTGTTGTTCTTGGTCTTTCCGTATCTGATTTATATGCGAAATAAATGTTATTTCCTCTGAAAAACAATGTGAATGCGAATGAGCCTTCTCAAAGCTGTAGAAATTACAAAAAATATGCGTTCTTTGCGGGGATATCTAGGTATTATCTAGGGTTGTGACCCAGTTATTCACAACTAGCCTCGAGTATTTTTTGCATATATTCTTGAATATTATTTTTTATTTTTTTTATTTTCGGGTAGTATATGATGAAATGCCATTTTAATACTAAAAATCCTTTATTGCCTACCAAAATTTCTAATCGACCAGAATTTTCAGTCAATTTAAACAATGCCCACCCAACAACTGAAATCGCCCACCGGTGGGTGATATCGCCCAGGTTGGGAAGTTTAAGATTGACCGCGGATAACCGAAACGGCGAATAACGAAGGTATGGTAAAAGAGAAATCTTAAAAGCTTCCGTTATATTGATAAACATCTACCGTCCTTTTTCTTTTTTTCTTGTATTGTCTGTATTGTTTATGTAGAATATTTAACGCGTATTTTTTTTTTTTTTTTTTTTATTGACGAGGCGTTTTCTTTGTATCTTTGGCAGAATGCTGTTTTCATTTAGATTTTCCCATCTTCATATATTCCGTAATGAACCTGTTGAGGAAAGGTCAGATTTGAGAGGCATTAACGGGCGTTGTGTAAATGGTTAACCGAAACCTCAAGGGGGGTCCAAGAAAATTGACATTCTATAGCTATCTCACTCTGTTCAGACGCTACTCTCCAACCTTCTCATTATCTATCTATCTATCTATCTATCTATCTATCTATCTAATTCTGTTTCCTATCTATCTATGTATCTATCCAATTCTGTTTCCTTTCTATCTATCTATCTATCTATCTATCTATCTATCTATCTATCTATCTATCTATCTAATTCTGTTTCCTTTCTATCTATCTATCTATCTAATTTGGTTTACTTTCTATCAATCTATCTATCTATCTAATTCTGTTTCCTTTCTATCTATCTATCTAATTTGGTTTACTTTCTATCTATCTATCTATCTATCTATCTATCTATCTATCTATCTAATTCTGTTTCTTATCTATCTATCTATCTATCTAATTTGCTTTACTTTCTATCTATCTATCTATCTATCTATCTATCTATCTATCTATCTATCTATCTAATTCTGTTTCCTTTCTATCTATCTATCTATCTATCTATCTATCTATCTATCTATCTATCTAATTCTGTTTCCTTTCTATCTATCTATCTATCTATCTATCTATCTATCTATATATATATATATATATATATATATATATATATGTCTGTCTGTCTGTCTATAGGTCTCTTAAAGATTATTCATATCTACCTGTCGCCTAATATCACTGTCATATATCCATCTATCTATCAAGCTGTCATGTCTATCAATCTATGTCTTTTATTATCTATTTATCTATCACACATTATCCATCTCTCTCTCACTCCCACTCTCTCTCTACACACACACACACACACACACACACACACACATATATATATATATATATATATATATATCACAATCTATTCCTATCTATCAATCACATTTTGTACGTATTTATCTATCTGTCTCAATCAGGTTATATCTATCAAAGACTCCATATCTATCTAGATAACTAGCAAGTTCTCATAGTCTATTCATATCTATCTATCTGTGTGTCTGTCTGTCGATCTATCTATTAATGAGCTGCTATACAACGGAACAGGTTTGTATGTAGATGACTATACATATATATATATATATATATATATATATATATATATATATATATATATATATACAGTATATTCATATCTACCACTGCCTATTCATATCTCTCTCTCCTTTTTTATTATATATTTTAATCTCTGCCCATATAACTTTTTTATAATAGATCGTTTATATCTATCTGTCTATTCATATCTATCTGTCTATTTATCTATCCATTTATATATATATATATATATATATATATATATATATATAATTATCTGTCTATCTATCTGTCTGTCTATCTAATCCTGCACCCTAAATAAACACATCCTCCCCTAACACGTACACACAATCACCTTCTACAGGCTGCTTCCTTTCATACCAACCAAACTCTCTGTCAATTCACGATTTTCATCGATAAAATGTCAAGGTGCGCGATTTGTCTGACGCCGCCTAAATCAACAAGAACGCTGTAGATCTCAAGAAGAGCTTACTCCAGGCAAGAGTTTGAGATGAAAAATAAAAAAATAAAAAAAAAGAAGACAGTATAGCGGAAGAAAAAAAAGAGAAAATAGTGTAGACGAAGATGGGGTGATGGGGGAGAGTAGAGTGATGGTGGCGGAGGAGAAGGAATCAAAAAGGGCGAAGGAGAGAATACAATATAGGAGAGAAGGAAAGAAACAGCTAAGAAGAATGAGAGAGATGACGATGATAATGGGAAAGAGAGAGAGAGGGGGGTGAAAGAATCTGACAGGAAGAGAAAAACAAGAGTGAATGTAAAGAAGGCCAGAGAGTACAACGGCCGACATGTTTTAACTGTAACAAGTATAATGTTGACGGAGAGATAAAATCTATGATAATCCAAATTCCTTATCTCAGATATACGGCTGAAACAAATCCCTATTAGCGCCAGAGACATTTGCAACAAATAAAAAACCTTCATGATGCCATTTGATAGAAATACAAGGAAAATAATTTAATTATTTAATAAAGATGCTTTTAAATAATAGATTTCTAGACCACTTGTGACCTCTTGGGTCAACTTTGTTGTGTTTACTGTTTACGTTTAGTTTTATGAAGAGTTTGTGAAAGTAGAGATATTTTAAAAATATATTTATTAGTAGTTATTGAAATTGCTTTCAGCATTTAAAAAAAATTGTTTGCTTGAAGAAAGTTGAACAATAAGGCGCTTGGAATGTCAAAATTCGGATTGTTGGGATTCGATACAAAAACAAAATATTGTAGCGTAATAAATACTGCGCCTCAAGAGGAAGCAGGGTGTTCAGTCTGAAGTCGGACGACCGGCTGATCGGTTAAACTCTCTGCCTTCGGGCGGGGAGGAACCCGAAGGAGGCTACGCCGAAGGGCGGTGTCTCTTTCGGGGAAGTAAACCGATCCTGAATCCGTTTATACGGGTTCTCAAGGGCATATTTTTGGCCGAGTTCACGGGCTCGGAGATCCCACGTTAAAGCGGCCTTGTGCAACATGATGCCCTCTTGGGGGGGTGACTAAATACCGTTCAGTCTGAAGTCTGGAGTGAAGTCCGTCAGGAGTCTGTCAGTCAGTCAGAACTAGCGAGTCAGTCAGTCGAGTCAGAGGCAGTCCGAAACAGAGTCGTGTTCAGACAATTACTACTAAACCTGATTGTTCGTACTAACACTTTTCTACTTCTCTGTATATATTCCTATTTGTAATATATCTGTGTTATTCCATATCCGTATTCGAGTTCTTCTTTATTGGTTCTACCTTGGACTATCGCCGTGGTACAAGGAACCGGACCATAACACTTTATTAACTAAAAACTGAGGAACTTTGAAGTTCACCCCAACCAAACGTATGCGTTCCCAAATGGAACGTCCTGGGTAAGACGATAAACTACATCCTCTGATCGGGAGGTTTTGAGGATCGTGGAACTACCTCTTAATTGATGGCCTTCCCAGGTTCATCCTGACACGGGGTGGTAGCACCTGTTAGGGTCCCAGATATGGGAAAATAGTTAACCTCCAATGTGGGATCAAGACACAATGAAAGTGTAAAAATAGATTTTAATACCAGCAATACATTTTTATAAAAAAATTATCACCAGCAATAGATTTTTGAAAAAATTTTGATTTTTTTTTTTTAATCATTTCACCCCAATCAAGGCAGGAGTGCCACTAGCACGCAAGGGGTTACAGAGGCGTGTTTGAAAAAAGGATACAGAGAAGGACGGGGAACAAGCTCAGGGTGTCAGATGTCGATTTCATAATATATATTTGGGTTTTTAGTTGTTGTAGAGAACTCATAAGATTATAATTTTAAGCGTAGAAAATTTTAAATTGGAAAATATAATTAAGCATTTCACTTGAATATTTGAAGATTATAGTCATCGGGGAAGCATGTAAGGGGAAGGGAATTTCATAGACGGGAAGTGCGGGAGAAGAAGCTGCTTGAGTAGAAGAGACGGTTACATTTAACCTTTTTTGACAGTGAAAGGGTGGGACCGAGATGCCAGTCTGATAGCTCGCTTAAATTCATGAAGTCCGGGAACCAACGAAAGTAGCTCGTCGGAACAGTTGCCGTGAAAATACTTGCAGAAGAGATAGAGGGAGGCCACGGCACGTCTGTGGGGTAGCGATTGTAGACTAGATGCAAGATCAGGACCTACTATCTTGCATATTCGTCTCTTGATTTTTTCGAGGACCTCAAGACGTACAGCGGGAGCACCAGACCATATATGACAGCAATATTCCATGCAAGGACGAATGGTTGATTTATAGATTTGAAGGATAGACTCAGTTGAAAAAAAACTTCCTGGTACAACACATGCCGTAAAACAAACCAATGCAATCCAATCCCAATAGGACTCGATTCAAGCTCAGAAGCTCATGAAAAGAGTCAAGATCGGCATATAAACACGAGCTGTTATTTAGTTTGGGAGGTATTTATTCGTCTGTCTCTTTAAAAAGACCCTAAAACGTTTATACACGTCTAGGTCGGAGAAGGCGTTAATGGCGAAATGTAGATATTTCGGAAAAATTTTATTCTGTTATTGTGGCTTCAACTAATTATATTTTGAACGCAATTTCATCCCTTCATCTACAGATAACATGTATTGTTGGTCTTCTTTTACACAGACACACACATACATACCTACATACACACACACACTTACATACACACACTTATATATATGTATGTATATATATGTATACGTATATATATATATATATATATATATATATATATATATATATGTATGCAATATATATATGTGTATATATATATATATACTAGCAGTAGAGCCCGGCGTTGTCCGGGGATGTAACAGTAAGAGATAGATCAAGTATCAACCATCATAAAGACTGAAAAATAAAATTGACAAAGATTATTGCTTAAGGTTGATGGACACGCATGTTTTAATTAGTTTTTTTTTTTTTTTACGAATTGGTCAAACCCAAACTCAAACAAAAACATTGTTTTCAATCGTTATGAGTCTATTGATTGAATAGAATTTTATTATAAACAATTGTTTTGTAAATGGAATTTTTAAAGCATTCTGAATGTAAAAATAAGACAATAAGAAACACTACCTGCCAAAAAAAAGTGAAGTTTTGTTGAAATCAGTTGAAAAATGTAGGAAATCCGATCCCATATATAAACAAACACAGACACACACACACAAGCAACCTGGGTTTTACAATAAGTATAACTCGATATGAGTTGTCCCCCTTCCATTCTCGCGACAGTGATGCCTCATAATCGTGTTTTCAAATTGATTTCGTGCAAAAACAATTGTGTTTTTCCAATTTTTGGCGCTGTCAGAACCACCGCAATGTAATTTTACGTAGTCCTGTGAAGTTTTGTTGAAATCGGTTGAAAAATTTAGGAAATCCGATCCAATATATAAACGTACACACACACACACACACACACACATCTGCGTTTTATAATAAGATATATATATATATATATATATATATATATATATATATATATATATATATATGATGAAATGAAGTGCGACAATTATTTAATATATTTTCTGTTTATATGTTATTTAATAGATACAATTTATTTAAATACAGTGTTATTTGAATAAACAGTATATTTCTCGGACATTCAGGACAGTAAATATAATTAATAATGTTTATTTTAAACAGATCATTTACTTAAATAATAACGTATAAACAGAAAATATATTAAAATAATTGTCGGACTTATCCCATTTCATAATATATGTTGTCATTTGTTTACGTTAAGGGACGCTTTGCGCAAGTATGATTGTAAATATTTGGATTTTTAGTTGTTGTAGAGAACTCATAAGATTATAATTTTAAGCGTAGAAAATTTTAAATTGGAAAATATAATTAAGCATTTATAAAATATTTGTTATCTAATAATTAATGTAATTGTTCTAATCTATGTGCTAGAGACTGTGTTATAGCGAAACTGAGTTGATCTTTAATA